TTCCATAAAAAAGACGGGCTCACTTCTTGGACCGCTGTCCACCGTGCGCGTGATCCTCTTTGCATGTTCATTTTCAAATTGACCATAAATCACGCGTTCAAGAGTAACTATAGGGGTGCGCACACTGCACAGGCGTATGGCATGAAGAGCGTCGAAACCGAATAAATTGCAGCGATATTTATGGTCGCGTTCGCGGCTCAACTTCTTTTTTCCTCTGGACGCGAAGATCGTGAACGGATATGGGAACGATAGCCTATTAAATTGTTTAGAAGAGATATGGATTTTCGAGCCGGGAATACTAACGTGGAGTACAACGAAGGCATTTAAATCATGCGAAATCCACATCCGACGCTTCGTGTAAAGGGAGGCCCATAAATTAGCGCGCGGATTCGGGTGCAGTCGCGTTTATCATTAGACCTGCCGGTCTTCGGTTAAATTCTAATTCCCGTCACGCGAGCTGTGACTTTTACGAGGGGGCTGAACGATGCAGGCACAAAACTTTTTTATTGTTCGCGACATTGCCTCCTTCTGTGATCAACCAGTTCGCGAAGTTTGCTAAACTGCTACGTTTTTGGCGCTTGGTCGCGGTCAAACGATCTGCAGTGCGACAGTTGCAGGCCCGAAGTGTTTACAGAAACCGCGTTACAAGGCATTCGTGGGTGGGTTTCGGTATCGGGGAATCGAAGCGATGCTCCGGCCAATTAAATCTAGCATTTGTCTTCGGTAACCGTTTTCTTTGGTAATCCACCGTCGGGAAAGTTTCGCCAGCGTTTCTAGTGGTCGAATGTTCAGGAGCCACGAGGAAAGAGAAAGAGAGATCGAGAGAAAGACCTGACTCCCGCGCGTCGATCCCGCTGGGAATAAAGAACCAAAGTCGTTTTCCTCCGGCTTCAAATTGACCTGGGACCCGTCTCTCTACCCTGATCTCATAAATATTTAAACCTAATGAACTTTACAAGCCGTGTAGATTCAAATCAGGGCTTCTTCTGGCCTCGCCTTATATTTTATTCGGCCACCCGGTAACGTTGATCGGCGAGCGGAAACTCTCGATCTTCTCTTTTTCACCCAATCCTCGTTTTATTTGGTCATTCGTTTGGGAGCGCGCGAAGTAACCGGACACCGGAGAAACGGGATAACTATCTAAACTAGCGCGATGCGACGATCTATCCGATCGTCAAGCGACGCGACTTTGTAATTCGAGGATCGGCGAGATATCGGCTTCGACTGGTTTACGCATCGGATAATCTTTTTTCCAATTTTCGTACGCCCCTTCGAAAGTCTCCCGGGCCACGATTTTTCCGCTCCATGTGTCGAGTATCGATGCACGTCACAGAGGACGTTATACGTTTTAACAACATTCGAACAAATTACCATTTCACTCGCCCATGTCTCGCGTCGTCGATCGCTCTATTTTGTCCCACTTTTATTTAAGTACTCACTGACACTCAATACAGAAAAGGAAATTTGCCACCTACGTTTCTAATCAGTTAACATGAGGTCGACTTCATCTTCATTTTTTCGGTCTTTGTTTCTCAATAAAATGGCCCATGATAAATTTCATCTGTGCTCTTCTATGAATTCCATAGGGGGGAAAATAAATTCAGTTAGAAACCTAAGGAAAGAAGGTTGACTCTGGACCGGAAATGCGGAAGGCTTTGACTAACGGTTGCGACGGCTGTCAGATACTGTGCGCTTATTAATTCTCGGCTTGTAAATAACGGCTACGTCAGGGTGGCTCGGCCTGAGCCAACAAAACGTCGAATTTAGAAGAGTTTCCGGGGATGGTGGCAGAATTACGATGGGTGTCGCGAAAATTTTGCTTTATCGGGCAAACGGAGTTACGGCGAGCCCCGTTTCGTTTCGTTTCGTTTCGTTTCGTTTCGGAGTCCCTTTGGAAATAATTCTCACCTGTTTTTTCGGCTTCAATGCCCTCCTCACCCTCTCGGCCGCTACTCCTCTTCCGTTTAAGCTTCTCAAAGTTCTTTGGCTGTAACGCGGTCCGTTAAAGCTCTTTTAATTTCGCCTGGCTTCGTTTCGCAGTCTCTTTACCAACGCTCCGTGCTGGCCGGCAATATGTTATTCGTTTGCGCGCTTATTCAGCGACAAAGTGGTTTTTGGATTACTTTTTAACGTTTCCTTCACGCCAGAGAGTTCGTGGTTAAGTATTTATACACCCACGGTGACGACCATTTAAAAATTAACAAGCTCTGAAATATTCGTGAACTTGACAAGTTAATGTGGCTGCTAGGAATTAATCAAAGGTTTTTAGTAAAACTGTTACAGTCGACTTGATTCTACGAAAGATATGTAAGATGAATATTTTATTTTAAGCAATTGCACTCTGCTACGTTCGCAAAAAAACTGCACGTGCTTTTATCTCTTTTTGTTGCCTGAGCTGAGTAAGAAGCAAATCGTAAAGCATTAAGGTGTAACAGGAATTCGCTGACCGGGGGATTGTTGTAATATGGGAAATAGAAAGAATGGGAGGAGGATTCTCGGCCGAAGTTCCACTCCATTTTCTTGACAGGATTATAACAAACAGGGGAGGCGCGTCTAACCGACAGGGAAGAAGCATTACCGACAGGTAACACCGTGCCAGGCCGCGCTGGTCGCCGGGAGCCGGCTGCAATATTGAGCTACCCTCCGGGTCCACGTCGTAATTAAAGCACTGAATTATTCGTTGGCTTGCTAAAGCTGGTGTGAACGTCGTTAGCGTCGACGACCGGGCCGCGACCGTAAACAGGCAACCCCTCTCGTGAATTATATGCTTGCCACTCTTCCGCCGGCCCCGGCTTAGCCAGCCAGTGTCAATATTGTTCTAAAACCGTCTCGGATGCGTTTCTGTCGCTGAGAAAAATAATCTCCGCGTTCCCGTTCTCCATGCTTACTCCTGTTTCCAACCCCTCTTTATTATAAATAATGTAATACCAAACGCATTACTGAGCGAGAAAGTCTCGGATCTGAGCTTTCTTTTCACGTTGGTATTGTCTCACGTCGAGTAGTGCCAAATGTGTTCTCCATTTTCATCGATTGCTGAATATTGGCAGACATCTGTCATCGAGTCTTCGAGGGAGGCTTCCCTAGTCGCAGTTGATTCGAGTGGGTCAGAAGAGTCTCGTGCCTTTTCGAGAGTCCTCTTTATCAGGTGCTCCATTAACGTTCATCGAAGAACAGACACCAGTTCCCTTTGAATTGTCAGACACGATGGGCGGGTTCTTGTTCTTTGACTGATAAGTGTAATTTTCGGCGTCATTAAATTCACGTCGATTTAATAACTGGGACAATAGCTGTAGGAATTACCGTGAACGGTCTATCGTTTTACTACCGCCCTGATTGTCATATTAAAGCTACTAGACGAGGTGCTTCACGATTACTCACGTATCTTGATAGATCATATCTCTACGTGAAGTCAATTTGTCGTACATGCTATTAATTTCTCGTATATCTTTATTTGTACAAACTCTAAATTTAAATTAACTCTTATTAAGTATAATGCATTGACCGAGCATCGAATTCACCGAGACAAAATCGATTCTTTAAATAACGAGGATTCGAGGAAGTTTCGGTTTAATTAAAACGAAATTGTACCATGTTGATTAAGATAGAAGAATTGTACATGTTGATTAAGATAGAAGTTGCAACGCGTAACGATGAACACGTGCGGAGGGATGCGATTTTGTTTACAAGTATTGGAATTTTCACTCACTCCCTCGGTCTAGGATTATTATTTACCCGTGAACTCTTTTACCCATGCACCAGCATCAATATTAATTCATAACGTTGACAGGGTCGTCGATGCGACGATGTCTAGGCCCGATGTAAATACGGCCAGCGTGAAATAAACGGGCGAAATGTATTTGCCACCGGTCTCCGGCTCACATCATTTCGCGGTTCTATCAATATTGTGTATAAGCCGCTAACGACAGTTTTCGCGCGGAACATCGCCAGAAATGAACTCTTATTTATCCGACGTGACGTCGCATTGCTGCACCCAGATTTCTTCTCTTCCCTTTGAATACGATTCGCGTCTGAAGGGTCGATTAAAAATTGAAAAATTTCAATATGCGGCAGGCAGAATGAGCTACCTTCTGACTCGAGCGAAAGACCTGAATGTTTAAAAATGCATCAAATATTTTGATAAATGAAATACATGACGCGAAGCAATTTCTTAACTATAAATTCGTAATCAAGGAAATTTCAGAGAAACTCTCAATTTATTACTGGGAATTTCGTTTATTTTACGTTTATTACATTTTCATAGTATAATCAGTGAATTTCAATTGATGAATTTTGAGCATAATGGACGATATTTACTTGCCTTCGAAGTTAATGGTACACGAAGAATCTGGTTCATATTCGTACTATTAACTTGGGACGCTAATGCACAACCCTCCAGCTACTGAATGACCGGTCGATGCAAATCGCGCATTCGCGGATTCCGTTTCCCTAAGCCCGTTACGCTCGAAAATTACTACGGACCTGCTAGGATACAGAGTTAGTGCGCACAGAGAGTGCCGGTTTCATGGAGTTTGCGTTCGGATATGGTAGCGCGGTGGAATAATTAATCAGAAAATCCAGCGTAATCGTTATCGTCGACTCGCTCTAATCCCATCCGCTATGCATATTTTCCACGCTGCGAATTAGCTGCGTGTTATGCGTTTAACCGCGTTAACCCCGACAATTTATTGATACCGCAATCGATACGAGCTATCTTTATAAATATCCGAACGCTATTTAATTCAGTACCAAATTTAACATCCCTTTTTAAACCCGGCTTTTCGCGTAATTGCAAAATCATTTAATTTCATTTGATTTATTTAATCGTAAAATAGTATTGAGTCTCTCGTCGACGAACTGAAATTTAACTTACCAAGCACTTTTTTCATGTCTTATCGAGGACCACATCCTTAAATGATTGTTCGGAGAGAACGATAGCCCAATTGAATGGGCAAATCTGTGAGGATAAGACGGAAGAAATCAACGGAATCTCTGCTTTTCAGACGGCGAATGTAATCGACACGGTAGCAGCGAGTTCCCTCGTCAATCGTTCGGTCGGACAATAGGTTCGGGTCTACGAAGACGTAGCGTAATTGCAACTCTATTGTTATCAACTGCGAGACGTGTCCACCGTTGGAAGACGAGTTAACGCGACTCCGGACGTGAAACGTGGCCAAGCTTCCTGCCACCTACCCGGTAAGTCCAATTAATTAAATCGGTAATTACATTCTCGGTCTCGGGGTCTCGGTTTCGGGTTGCAACATGCTCATTCTCCGAGACCGTTCTCACCCGAAACCAGGTTCCATTTCCGGGAGAATTTTCCGGTTCTCCGCGCTGGCGTCGCGGCTGTCTACGTACTGCCACGATTGCCGTTACGGGTTTCGTTTTTGTTTAAACGACGGACAGAGATAAAGCAACCCGGGTCTTGGCGAGGAAAACTTTTTAACTGGGGGGTTAATAACATTGAATATTAATGAACCGACTGGTTTTTCGTCCGTCTCTGGCTCCACGTCGTCCTCGCGCTGCTAATGAAGCGGAGAGGGCGCGGAATGAGAGCATTGTGCACCCGGCGAACAATGCCCATCTCACGGTTCTTTCTCGTTAGGTGGCGAGAAGAAGCCGAAACGGTTTTGCTCGTACCACGAACTCGGTCCGGACGGGGCCAAATAGAAATCGGTAATTGAGCCACTAAAACTACTGGACTTATCGTATCCGTTCTTTCGTCTACGATCTGAAACATCAGCCATTTCTCGGCACAAAGTGTAAACGATCAGTGCCGGCGAACGACGGTTTGATGAATGTTTAACGTCGACGAATCGTTTTTCACGGTCCGATCGCGTTCATTAGAGGCAATCGATGATTACTTATGTTCGATTGACCGAATCGGTGCGGGACAGGTATTCCAGATTTTGGGTGCCCTCCGCTATGAATATCGTAACATTTATTTGCAAAGCACAAATATGGATTCACATCAAAGCGTTTGCGGTGAAATTCGCTCGACTCTAATTACCGTCCGATCTCGGTCTGCCCCCGCTCCAGGTTAAAATTAGGATCCAAGAGCGGATGGATTACACGTGTCCTCCCGATATTGAACCGATCGGCGGTGGCCGCTGCGGTGGACGCCGATTTAATTTGCTTAATCCCCGGCAGATTAGCGGGCGTAGTAGCCGGTGGGCCAACAACAATCAGTTTAGGCGATAATACCCGCGTGACAATCTTAATCGAAACGACGACGGTGTCCGACTTACCGTTTCGACGAATGCGATTTGATATCTGTAAACAATTAATTGGATCTCGTATCAACAAACGGATCTACCCGATTTCGCATGACCTGGAATCCTGTGGGACTGGGAATCGCTTCTTCGGGACGGGGAGGATGTTTGCGAGCGAAACAGGCTAGATCTTGAATGACGTATCGAGGATACAATTTGCGCAATGCGATTTTCCAAGAGAAGCTTTCGCTACAATTTTTTATTTTCCCTCTTTAAAGTAGAAATATTTTATAGATCAGTTATCCCGTGCGATGAGGCGCGACCCCTTAATCGGTTAAATATTTGACGAATCTGCAAAGAGAATTAACGGAATTATTTATAGCTTGTTCGATATTTCGCGATAGGCTGATCGGTTCGGCGTGAACATTAATTTAGATTAATTCGAGGCGGGACGTAGTCGAGGGAAAACTAACGGCGAAACTAGTTTAGCAGCGATGATCCCAGGAGAGCTTTGAAAACTAAGCGCGGTTATACTACGCCTATTATACATATATGATACGGCCAGTCGTTATCCGGCGAAAGTTTCGCGAATCATTCATTCATACCAGCGGGTCCGCGTGAAAACCCTGGCTACAGTTCGTCATTTCGACGACGTGAGTCCACCGCGACGGGTTTCAAATGAAATATACATCTACGTTGTCGCGAGGTCCTGCATGGGAAAAGAGCGAGCCACGTGTATGATTAATGGAACGACGACTGCGTGTGGTTCCAAAGATTTCTGATCTCGAGCTTTGATACCACGTTCGATCCACGGGGACAGTTAATTTATAATGCGACTGAGAAGGTACCAATCGTTTTTGTAGCATAAACTTTTTCAAATTCACCGTTTATTCTCGGGGATATATCAAAATCGATGGCTTAAAAATTCCAATCTTCTGCGATCGAACGAAATTTATTGCGGTTCGAAATGAGTGGATTACGGGATTCATTTTATTTTTTATTTATTCTTATGACGTACACAAATTCCCTTTGCTCGGTCAATAGAAGCCGTTTCACGTCGTCAGTTTTCAGGTCTCGGTCTCGACTCAAGGAAACTGCTTGTTCGTGTCTTGAAATCCGTCCTTCGTGAAATAACGCCGCTCGGTACATCCGACGTTATTTGTCTTTCCGCGCGCTCTGATGTAGCAATATCATGCAAGATCACAGTTAAACCGGGAAACGAGACGACGGCCTTGCGACGTACAATCTTGAGTAGCTGCACTCGTTTCGTCAGGAGCCCGGCCAAATTTAGCCAGTCGAGGCGCAATCAGACGCTCCTCGCGACTGTTCCGCGAGCGTAACCGTGGAAAATTCAGCTCGTTGCACTCGGCGAATTCACGCGAACGTCTTCGAAGAGTAAATCGCGTGACGATGACGAGCGGAACCACAATTATCTCGAAGCGAGGCGCGTTCTCCGAGGCAAAGTAGCTCCCCGGTTCGTTCGAGGTTTTCCGCGTTTAAGACTTCAGAATTGTTCGTAATGCTCGAGGCCAATTTATCGACACTTTCAACGTTGTTTACCCAGTCGTCGAGGAGGATAAGGCGGTCCCCGTTATTGTTGGTACCCAGCTCACGTCGTTGATCTTGCGCTAGAACCCGGTCACGGATTTGCGAAGAAAGAAAATCGTTCGACGCAGGATAGCAGCGTTCCACTAGGAACGATTACGTATTCCATCCCGGTTGTCCTCGCTTCTCCATACTCCTTCCGGTTCTATACGTCTATTCTCCGTTTCCCATCGCCCGATCTGTCGCGTCCACTTGTTTAATCAGCGATATTTTTACTGCAACCAGTTGTCTACGTTCACCCAATTAACGAGACTGAGACTTAAAACGAGATTTGAAAATGAAATAATACTATTTAAAGTTTATCTCGCGATACTGAAATACACTCAATCAATTTCTAAATGTAAAGTCTGATGGATAAATTTCGCGTCGAGACGCGATATTGATTCTTGATAGTCAATTTGTTGGATTTAGTAGTTCCGCGCGCGTGGGAAGAAGAAATTAGGAATTTCCCTTTGGCGATGCGAACTTCTCATCCATCTTCTTCGTCAGGTTCGTGCGTCCCCTCTAGGGTAGTGCAGGCGACGCTTGGAAAATGGCAGACGTGCATCCGCAACTTTGATAAGTTCCCTTGACACGAACGGGACCATAATTTATTTCTCAGTCTCCTATTAAAGAACAGAGGGGTTATTAAGTTTCGCAGAAAGTTCCCGAAGCGAGAGATGCGACGGTAATGCAAAGCTAAAGGGGAAACGGCCATCGGAAATTATTTATCTCATTTTTTGGACGGTAACTTCAAATTTTTATTGATCAGTGCACTGCGGATTTTACGGGTTTGTATAAATTTTTAAATAAAATTTAAAAATGCAATAAGTATAAAATGTTCTCGATATAAATACGAACGAAACAGGAGAATCGAAGTGAACGTTTAAAAAACATTTATGATTTCATTTTAAAATAACACACGTTTTATGTGGTAAAACATTTATTTCGCTATTTAATAAATGCGTTCAGTCGATAATCGTTTAATCAACGTGATCACATTTATTCCATAAGTAATTGAATACATGCTTGAGATACCTACGGTTGCCACGGAATTTCAAGTTTCAGACAGCGTCGAGTGTTGTACATGAGGAGAGCACGGATTCCTCCGATAGCGGAGGACGTTTATCTCAAGCTGGCTTGTAGCCTGAGCTTCAAACGTACTGTGTTACGCTCACAGTATTTGTTGGAGTCGTAACATCGGTTTCGTCTTT